TGTGGAAAGTGACTTCAGCTTCCTGGTTCCTGGGGGGAAATCTTCAGTGTCTTCCTTAATATCTTCCTGCAAGGATTAAGAGTGGTACCAGTCAGTAAATGCCCTGTATATAAGGATTTCATTCTCTTGAACTTGTCTCTCAGAGAAAATCTCTTTCTGGTATTTTGTTTGTTTGTTTGTTTGATTGTCTTTTGTTGTTTTTTTTTTTTGAGACAGAGTCTCACTGTGTCACCCTCGGTAGAGTGCTATGGCATCACAGCTCACAGCAACCTCAAACTCTTGGGCTTACGCAATTCTCTTGCCTCAGTCTCCCAAGTAGCTGGGACTACAGGCACCTGCCACAACACCTGGCTATTTTTTTGTTGCAGTTGTCATTGTTGTTTAGCTGGCCCCAGCTGGGTTTAAACCTGCCAACCTCAGTGCATGTGGCTGGCGCTGCAACCACTGTGCTATGGGCTCCAAGCCAAGAAAAATCTCTCTTAAAGTATACGTCCATGGCTCGGCGCCTGTGGCTCAAGCCGCTAAGGTGCCAGCCACATACACCTAAGGTGGCGGGTTCGAATCCCCAGCCCGGGCCCGCCAAATAACAATGATGGCTGCAACCAAAAAAAAATAGCTGGGCATTGTGGCGGACGCCTGTGGTCCCAGCTACTTGGGAGGCTGAGGCAGGAGGCTCGCTTGAGCCCAGGAGTTGGAGGTTGCTGTGAGCGTGATGCCACGGCACTCTACCCAGGGGGATAGCTTGAGGCTCCATCTCAAAAAAAAAAAAAAAAGTATACGTCCAGCAGTAAGGGACACCTGTTAGGGACTTGGAGATAGTGCAGAGTCTCTCACACCCCAGTGAAGTTGCTAGAAGGTTTTAAATTGATGATTCAGAAATCCTACTTCTGTCAACCTTTTTTTTCTTTCAGATTAATATAAGAGCACATACGATTAGGTTACATTGTTTGCATTTGTTAGTTAAAGTCCAAGTTGTAGTTAAGCCCTTCACCCAGGAGATGTGCCCGATAGCCCTATGTTGTGCTGGTTAGTGACAGCTTCCTAACCCCCCTCCTTCTTCTCCTCTGCCCCTCTTCCCCTCCTCCCGTGAATTTAATTGTGTGTCTCCCATGTGGTTCTGTAGTTATCCATCTACTAGTTTCATACTAGTATTGAGTGCATTGGTGCGTGCTTTTCCTTTCTTGTGATACTTAGGAGGATTTTCTCCAATCCTTCAGGTAAGCATAAAAGATACACAGTCTCCATCTTTTTTTCTTTTTAATTTCAGGTTAATGTGAGGGTGCAAATACCTAGGTTACAATGTTTGCATTTGTTAGATAGAGTCCCTCTTACAGTGTCCTGCACCCAAGAGGTGTGCGATATACCCTTACATTGTGCCCATTAAGTGGGAGCTCCCCAGTGCCCCCTCTCTCCTTTATCTCTCCCTCCATCTTTCCTTATGGCTGAATAGTATTCCATGGTATACATATACCAGAAGTTATTTATCAATTCATAAATTGATGGGTACCTGGGTTGTTTCTATGTCTTTGGGATCCTGAATTGAGCTGCTATAAACATTCTAGTAAATATGTCCTTATGGTAACATTGGGTTTTTTCTCTAGGGTAAATACCTACTAATGGGATTGTGGGATCAAATGGACTTTAAGGATTCTCCATTCTTCCTTCCTAAAAGCTTGTATTAGTTTGCAGTCCTACCAACAGTGTAAAAGTGTTCCCTTCTCTCCACATCCACGCCAGCATCTGCAGCTTTGGGACTTTGTTACATGGGCTGTTCTCACTGGTGTTAGGTGATATCTCAAGATGGTTTTGATTTGCATTTCTCTGATAATTAGAGGCCATGAACATTTTTGCATGTATTTGTTGGCCATTTGTCTGTCTTCTTGGGAGAAGGTTTTGTTCATGTCTCTTGATATGGGTTGTTTGCTCTTGTTGATTATTTTAAGTTCTCTGTAGACTGTGGTCAGATTTATAGCATGCAAATATCTTCTCCCATTCTAAAGGTTGTCTGTTTGCTTTAGTTGTGTTGTTAGCTGTGCGGAAGCTTTTTAGCTTGATCAGGTCCCATTTATTTATTTTTGGTGTTGCTACAATTGCTAATGGAGTCAACTTCATAAAATCTTTCCTCAGGCTGATATCATCAAGAGTTTTTCCTCATACCTTCTTCTAAGAGTTTTCATCATTTTGTGTCTTAGATTTAAATCTTTTATCCGTCGTGAGTTAGTTTTTGTCAGTAGTGAGAGGTGTGGGTCCAGTTTCAGTCTTTTACATGTGGCTTATCAGGTCTGTAAGCACCATTAATTGAATAGAGATTCTTTTCCCCAGTGTATGCTTTTGTTTGGTTTATCAAAGATCAGATGGTGAGAGGAAGTGGGTTTCTTTTATCTCTAGGTTCTCTATTCTGTTCCATAGATCTATGTCTCTTTTTTATGCCAATACCATGCTATTTTGATCACTATAGACTTGTAGTATAACCTGAAGTCTGGTAACACGATAACTCCCAATTTGTTTTTATTTCTTAGAATTGCGTTGGCTATTTGGGATTTTTTCTGGTTCCATATGAAACAAAGTACTATTTTTTCAAGTTATTCAAAGTATGACAGTGCTTTAATGAGTATTGTATTAAATCTGTAAAGCACATTGGACAGTGTAGACATTTTAAGAATGTTGAATTTTCCCAGCCATGAGCTTGGTACGTTCTTCCATTTGTTAATGTCTTCTGTTATCTCTTTTCTCAGGGTTTTGCAGTTCTCTCTGTAGAGATTCATCACATACTTTTTTAGGTATATTCCAATGTATTTTATTTTCTTTGAAGCTACTGTGAAGGGATTATGTCTTTGATTTGATTCTCAGTTGGACTGTGGTTGGCATACATGAAGGCTACTGATTTGTGGACATTGATTTTACATTGCAAGATTTTGCTGTACTTCTTGATCACTGCCAGGAGTCTTGTGGTTGATTCCCTGGAGTTTTCTAAGTATAAGATCATATCATCAGCAAAGAATGAGAGCTTGACCTCCCCTGTCCTCGTTTGGATGCCCTGATATCCTTCTCTTACCTGACTACAATGGGTAGAACTTCCAGCACTGTGTTGAATAGTAGTGGCAATACTGGACGTCCTTGTCTGGTTCCTGTTCTAAGTGGAAATGCTTTTAGTTTTACTCCATTCATTATGATATTAGCTGTGGGCTTGTTGTAATTGGCTTCTATCAGTTTAAGAAATGTCCCGTCTATGCCTGTTTTCTGGCCAATTTTGTTGATTTCTTGAGATAGGTTTTGGACTTTGTTTCCACCTTCTCTTCAACTCCATTCATCTTACTTGCCATCTATATTCTGAATTCTATCTCTGTAACTGCTAATTTGTTTTTGGATGGCATCTTCATCTGTACCTCCATTGTTATCCCTAGAGTGAATTGATGTGCTCTAAGTTTTCATCTTGCCAGCGTTCTTCTGCTGATCCTCCCCATCGGTGTTTATTATTATTATTTTTTTAATTTTAAGCTGAAAGGTTAGGGTCTCCCTAAATCATTGAGGGAGATTCTGGTTGGGCTCACTTAGGTGGCTCACAGGCAGCCAGCCACTGGAGCCTGCAGGGTGGACTCTGTGTCAGTCTTTTTTAAAATCAATATGACTATATAAAGCTATACAGAAAAACATTTATTTCATAACTGTTTATAATAAGAAGAATGGAAAATGTTCATTTCTAGAAGACTGGCTAAATATAAATTGTAGTTATTACAGTGAATGGAATAGAATGCTAGAGCAAGGTACTGATAGTAAAAGATAGGGGTTTTGTGGGGGTTTTTTGTTTTTGTTTTGTTGTTGTTTTGTTGTTTTGCAGCTTTTGGCCGGGGCTGGTTTTGAACCTACCACCTCCAGTATATGGGGCCAGTGCCCTACTCCTTTGAGCCAAGGCAACACCCTGTATTTTGGGGGGGGGGGTTGTTTTTTTGTTTGTTTGTTTGAGACAGTCTCACTCTGTCACCCTGGGTAGAGTGCTGTAGTGTCATAGCTCACAGAAGCCTCCTGAACGCAAAGTGCTTTGCTGTGCAGCCAGGTGCTTTCCAGAAAGTGCTGGGTGTATAAAATGAGAGCTTCCCTAAAAGAAAAGGGCAGATGGGTCCCTCAGATTCTGAGTGATTTCCTCAATAAGAGGATGATAACTCAAAAATGGCAGAGAATCAGGCCCATTTAGCTGAACAGAGGCGATTTCTCTTCCTGGAGAGTCACTCTGTGTTGTCATCCAAGCACACCTGGTTTGGCTTTGTCGTGCCTGAGCAGTGAGGCCTGACAGGACATGACTGAGGTTTGGCTGTGTTTGGTGTGTGGAAAGCAGGGACAAACTGCTCAGATCTCCCAGTAGCGAATCAGGGACAGAGACAGAGTCCCAGGCCCATCCTTCACTCCCAGCCAGGCTCATGCATTCAGGCAACAGAAGGGCCACAGCCCGGCCCATAAACGGTGGGAGTATGAGAAGCTGTGTCCACTGGGATCAAGCCTCCCTTTCTAAAGACAACATTGTTCAAAAGTTGGTTCTCAGAAATTAATAAACAGAATAGTAAAAGAAAATAGAAAGATGCTTTCTCCAAGGGTATGATATTTCCATTTTTGTGATCCAGCATTTAGAGAATGAGGTGTTTTATTTTTCCCCTCCAAACATTGATTTTATTTGTTATTGAATGAAGGTGATTTTCATAAGCTACCAAATCCTTTCAAGGTCTTTACACTACCTATTAAAGACAAAGTATCCTTTGAGAAGTCTGCTCCCTCAGCTGTTGGAAACAATGGTGTGACAGGAATGATGAGGACTCAGGCGGAGTGCAGCGTCTGTCTCCTCACTATGTCCTTATTTTCAACATAGCTGTCACAGAAACCTCCCACATAAAGCACACCAGAGGTGATCCTTACTCTGAGAAACAAAGGCTCACATTTGAGTTTGGCTTCAGAGAAAACCCGGACTGCTCAGTTGGTTTTGCTGGTGATGGGAAATCTTTCTATTGCAGATCTCTCCAAGGCCTTGGTTCTAACAGAAATTGGCCCCAAGCGTGACCCTGCAACTCTGAGACTGTTCCTGGGCAACATGGAGCGGCTGCTGCATGCCAGCGCTCACGGGTAGGGCCAGTCCTGGGAACACTGCGGCCAGAGGGGAAGGAACCAAACACTTGTTCTTGCCAAAAGCTTCTCCCTGTGCAGCAGGAGTGGGAGGGGGCTGCATACACCACCTGCAACCCTGCAACACCAGGCACAGAGAAGTCAGGCAGTGGATCTGGCCCCCGTGGGATGCAATATTCCATTGGCTGCAGGGCCCATGTCCCTTCTGCTTGGTGTTTCAAGAATCTGCATATGCTGTGGGAGGCTGAGGCAGGTGGATTGCTTGAGCTCAGGAGTTCGAGACCAGCCTGAGCAACAGAGAGTGAGACACTGTCTCTGTTTTTTTTTTTTTTTTTTTTTTTGTAGAGACAGAGTCTTGCTTTATCACCCTTGGTAGAGTGCCGTGGCATCACACAGCTCACAGCAACCTCCAACTTCAAGGCTTAGGCGATTCTCTTGCCTCAGCCTCCTGAGTAGCTGGGGCCACAGGTGCCTGCCACAATGCCCAGCTATTTTTTTTTTGTTGCAGTTTGGCCGGGGCCAGGTTTAAACCCACCACCCTCAGTATGTGGGGCCAGCGCCCTACCCACTGAGCCACAGGTGCCACCCAAGACACTGTCTCTATTAAAAATAGAAAAATCAGCCAGGAGTTGTAGCAGACTCCTGTAGTCCCAGCTACTTGGGAAGCTGAGGCAGGAGGATCACTTGAGCCCAGGAGTTCACTGTTGTGAGCTATGACGCCATGGCCCAGGGCACAGAGTGAGACTCCATCTCAAAAAAAATAAATAAATAAATTTTGCATAACTGCCATCCAGGCCCTTGGCCAAGGCATCCTTGCTCATCCTCAGAGCCCTTCCTAAGTGCACTGGGCTTCAGACAATTACTTTGATTTGGCACACTAAGGGTCTGTGCAGTGACTGCTCATTCATGTAAGGAGGCTCACATTGAAAGTCAAGCCCAGCAGAGTTACACTCAGGTCTCCAGCTGTCCTAGCTGCATCTTGGGTTCCAGGGCTGTGTGACCAATGAGGTCAGCGTGCACACCGGGGAGGAAGCCCACCTCATCTCAGATGCCTCCTTCCTTCTCCACCAGGGTCCGCATGATTGGAAGCTCCACCTTGGCACTCTGTCACCTGGCCTCAGGTGCTGCCGATGCCTATTACCAGTTTGGCCTGCACTGTTGGGACCTGGCAGCTGCCACGGTCATCATCAGAGAAGCAGGCGGCATTGTGATGGACACTTCTGGTGAGCCCCCCTGTGCCCAGTTGTACAAACTAGACCAAGTGATGCCCAGAGCAGGTGCCCCCTGGGATCCCCACTTCCCCCAAGTTTCTGACAGTGAGCACCTCCCCAGCTGGGCTTCCTTTCTGCATCTGCCAGCTGTGGGACCAGGGCACCTTGCTGGATGGCAGCAGCACTTCATACATCGTCAGCAGGTCTTACATACACCTAGATGCACAGATCCAATGAGGCAGATGGGGCAGGGGCCATGCTAGAGTCCAGCTGACCAATATCTGAGGTCAGCTGCTTTCCCATGGCCCTAAAGCTTGATGCTGGCTCATCACTGGTACAGGGTATGTGTGGCCTGCTGAGTCTTAGAGCCATTGATCTGGACAGTGACGTGGTCCTGCTTCTGTGAGGTCACCTGCCCTGGGAGCATGGGAGCCCTGCGCTTGCACTCCCTGCCACGTCCTGTCTCTTCAGACTGAGATCTGAGCTCAGGAGCAGCAGTGAGGGGCCAGGTGAAGCCTGCTCAGACTTGGTTCTCAGGAGCTCTCTGGCAGGACACTGTAGCTCACAACTAACCATTGGATCTGAGCAGTGAGTCTTTTGTAGTATGATTTCCACTTTTTTCCTATTTTTCCTTTGAAAGACCTTAATAGAGCTATCAGAAAGGTATGAAAATGAAGAAGTCTCAGCCACGGTAGACTGAGTAGTCAAATTTCAGATTTTAAAAGCCTCCAACACTCCAGGTTTTACCACGTCAGCCCCTGGACCCCAGGAAGACACAGGCCTTCACTATCAACCCTGGCAGCTTGGCGTGTGGTCCCCAGGGCAGTGGGGCCTGTGGCACCAGCAGGCTCAACCCCACCCTGCCATGCCAAGTGACAGCCTTCACTTCCTGAGGCCCTGCCGGCCCAGGTGCAAGGCTCAGGTGGAGGAGGACTGCTGCCCGCCCAGGCTCAGGTGAAGGAGGACTGCTGCCTGCCCAGGCTCAGGTGGAGGACTGCTGCCCACCCAGTCATGGCTGAGATACTGGGCTTCGCATCCTCCCAGCACAGACTGTAGGATAGCCCAGGTTCTGGCCGCCCTTACCTGCATTCCCACAAGGACAGATGAGGTGGCATGTGTGAGGCCCCACCCCTTTCCCAGGCCAGGTCGCTGCCAGCCCACTGGTCTGTGCAGGCACAAGGGCTCTGGAGGTCCCTGCATGTGAGATAAATTGTCACATGAGATTGTCCAACCCCTCCAGTAACCTGGGGCGGCCCTCCCTTCCTCTCTCCGCAGGTGCACCCCTTGACCTCATGGCATGCAGAGTGGTTGCTGCTGGCACAAGGGAGATGGCCATGTTCATAGCTCAGGCCTTACAGACTATTAACTACGGGCGTGACGATGACCAGTGAGCATGATGGCAAAGGAGCTCTGACGGCCTCCATGGGGTGCTGCGGGCCTCCCGTGCTGTGTGCTTTGCTTCCTGCCATCTCAGAGGGAAATGCTGTGCTCAGGTGTGCGGCACACGCGTCTCTCTCATGGGGATTGGTGTTTAGCTGCTTCTTCTTGTAAGTTCATATAGCCTTTCTCAGGTTAGTGCCTGTTCCTCTGTCAGAGCCAAAAGCCAAATCTCCCAGCTTTGATAACCCAATCATGATTTTCCCCAGAAGACAAATCTCAGGTAATAAGGTTTACAACTTCTGGGAAAGTGGACTGGCTCTCACACCCCACCATGGCACTTCAGAACACATGTAACCCAAGCAATGCTCAGCCACTGCGCCCAGACAGCCTGGGGTGTGGCCGCAGATCAGGCTGCCGGAAATGCAGAGCTGACAGACCCTGTCATCTGCCACCTATGATAAGTGCTCTGAAAACAACTCCAGGGATCATCATGTCAGTGTTCAAAATCCAAGATATTGGACTGACTGAAAAAAACTTGTAGCCCCAAAACAAACCTCTGAAATGCTATTGTTGTGATCCATTTAATGGGGAAAAATTGTGCCGTATTCTCTGGGCCATATTTGTTTCTTGTTAGGAGGGAGATTCATGTATGGTATAAGGATAATTCTAATGAGCCTGTCAACTGACTGGCAGGGCATCCTTTCTGAAGTTTGAGAAACTTAGTCTTAGAAGAAGTTCCAACTCGCTCTTTTTTTCTTTTCTTTTGAGACGGAGTCTTATTCTGTCACCCTCGGTAGAGTACCATAACATCACCCTCAGAACAGTTGCAGTGGTGTCACAGCTCACAGCAACCTCAGACTCCTGGGTTCAAGGGATACTCCTGCCTCAGCCTCCTGAGTAGCTGGGACTACAAGTGCCTGCCACAATGCCTGGCTAGTTTTTTCTATTTTTAGTAGAGACAGTGTCTCACTCTTGTTCAGGCTGGTCTCAAACTCCTGAGCTCAGGAGTGATCAGCTGGCCACAGCCTCCCAGCATGCTCCCAGTGAGCTGCTGTGCCTGGCCTCAACCCACCCTTAACCTTTTCTGTCATCTTCTGAATTTGCCATCAACACGTACAGGGCATTTGTGAATCTCCCTGGCATCTGCTGCCTCTGACTCTTCTATGCCAACATTGGGGGTTGCCCCTAAAATGAGCCTGTCACTTTCACCTGGCTTACCTGGCAGTCTTCAGCAGCTTCCCTTCTTTGGTCCCCCGAGGCCACAAGGCCCATGCTGCAGATGCTCGGGGGCCACACTGATGCTCTGGCTCTCACCCTCCTAGGGACTCCAAGGAAGAAGATTCTTTGGGAGCAAAATAACCTAATGCTTTGCTTCCCCTCCCCCTCAGGCTGCTTTTTCATATAAATTTACTATCTAAAGGAAGGCATTTCCTCTTGCCTGAATGGGGGGCCAAGTAAACTCTGGATATGCACAGTTCAAGGGCCTGCAGGTGCTAAGACTAGGGTCTCCTTTAGGACTAAGTAGCCTAGTGCCCATGGGCACACATCTGGCTGCACACAGGCCATGGCCTCTGGGGGCATCTGAGCTGTGGGTCTCATGCACCCTCCTGACCATGTCCTGTCTCTCACTGAACCCCCAGGTGGGATAGATCATTCCTCCAGGGACCACTCATCCCACACAGATCTTCCACAGTGTTAGAATGTTGCAGGTAGTAAGCCAAAGTCTGTCCAATAGTAATGGGCATCTCTGTTCTGATTTCAACCCTTGAGTCCATGAGGAATAGCACCACTCCCACTGCTCTGTCCCCTCCCTAGCCCCAGGGTGTCTTCTAGGCTTCAGGCTAATCTTGCAGTCTTTGAGGAGCTGCCAGGCCCCTGCCTCCTGTGACCGGGTGCTAGTCCCCATTTGTCCTTTGGTTGTGCATGTCCCCCAAGGAAGCCCTGGGTTGGCCAGAGCCCAAGTGTGCAGCTGCTGAGACACACTCCACCATGTGCCTCGCACACCTGGGTCATAAGGTGGGCAGGGATGCCGGTTTTGTCCTCACTGTCTCCTCACCCCCACTGCCCATGCCATAGCCTGTCAAGGTCTCCTGGGACCTCAGTGCTGCCTTTCAGCCTCAGGCTCGTTAGCATCATGCTCCTCAGTCAAATCACAGAAAATGTTGACTGGGATGGAAAGACGTGCAGAGCCAGCCAGTACCTCACCTGAGAACCCTCCAAGGTCACAGGTCCTCCACCCCTCCTCCACCTCCACAGGACCCCTTCCAAGTGTCGTCACAGACCAGCATCCAGCACAGCTCAGTGTGCTCCAGCTGGCTCACACCTCTGTATGACCAGAGGATAGCAAAGATGTCACTATCATGTAGGTTTGTAGAACCCTGCCATCCACAGCCACATGCAGCTGCTTAATTAAGAGAGGTTAAACTGGCTCGGCGCCTGTGGCTCAAGCGGCTAAGGCACCAGCCACATACACCTAAGGTGGCAGGTTCGAATCCCCAGCCCGGGCCCGCCAAACAA